GCTGACAGTGCATGATTTTTAACTGGTTAACTTGGCCAAACACAATACAACACGGACATGGACGGCCGCATTTCACATTGTGCCCCTAATTGACCACATATTTTGATCTGCGTTTGTCCGAGCTGGGCCCGGGGATGGGAATGCTCCACGCTTTTAGCTGGGTGTTTCCACCCTCTGACAGTAACTGTGAGGAAGCATAACAGCTCAATGAATCTGCTTGTCCTGCTGCGTGTGGTGGTGTAGAAAAAAGAGCTAAAAGCTGTATGAGTGCATTTACAGTTTGCTGTTCTGATGTGACATTGTAGTAGTGCACAAACTAAATGAGTGTATAAACTCATTTTCCATCTTCTCTGTTCTCTCTGTAAACTCCCCCCCCCCACTGCTGAAGTGTGAGTACTGTAAAAACTTTGCTCCTGCCAGCCAGTTCAGAGGCACCAAGCGATTCTGCTCCATGTCTTGTGCCAAGAGGTACTACAACATGTGTGTGTGTGTATAACGTACACAGTGGGCGCCATCTGAGAAATCAGTGTACTGCTGCTGTCGGCGATGCCTAATGTCAACACCGGTTACTGAATTCTGGTTTTGAATATAAATATGTTTTATTGTACCGTGTTTGGTTTTTAGTAGATTTTAGACTTAACACAATATCAGAATAGACCTTAAAGGTGTGTAATCTTAGAATGCAAAACCCTCTTCATGTCATTACAAATCTCAAAAATATGACTGAAGCCTTGACTTCAGTGTCCTGGGCTGGAGCTCCAGCCCTGCTCAAAGACACGTGGGACAGCTGAGTTCTCAGGCGGCCGCAGCTGTAGGTTTCACAGCATGCCTGTTTATCGTCTTCATATTTTGTTTTGATATTACTGTCACTTCACCCACTTTTAGCACATAAACTTGTGATTTCATATCAAATATATGTACAGTCTTTAATTTTTCAAATGTACTTTGTGTTTGTTTGATATGTTTGACTATATAAACAATGCTGTGTCTGCATTGTTTGAAACTGTATGCTCTAAGCATATGATTTGACATATTCTGCTTCTGCTTTACACTTGTCTCTTTGCCCACTACATGAGTATGGATTATACACTGTACAGTGCAAAGAGATGAAATATGTATGTGTTGCTCGTCTTGGCTTCAGTACCGTATATGTCACTCTTTGTCTACGATACAGTATGTATTGGTTCCCCAGGTACAACGTCAGCTTCAGGCAGCCCTTCTGCATGCGGCAGAGTCAAAGTCAGAATCAGACTCCAGATCAGGATCGAGGCCAGGGTCACCTCTCCAACTCAGACGAGGAGGGAGGCGTCGCCAGGCGGAGGGTTCCCCGCAGGACCAGCTCAGAAATAGCCAGTGCCAAGATAGCAGGGAGACCCGTACCTGCCAAGGTGAGGCAGCTGGATCCGAAGAAACGATGGAAAAGTTTTTAATTGTGTCAAATTTTTGAAAGGTGCTGGAACAAGAAGCTCTAAATTAAGATGTTTTAGAGTTAGACTGATAAATCAGTGGACTTGTCAGCCAAAAAGTAATAAGAAACAGCAGTATAGAAATACTAAGTGAGACACTTTGTATTTTAGTCCTAGGTTTCACTTTTCAGTAACCTTTTTATAACTCCAGTTCATTTATTTTCAGAACAGCTCAGTTATTTACTTTCCTACAGAGGGAGATTCAGCTTGCAGCAGGCTGTGCTACATGGCCAGTGAAGAATGTAGAATATGACACTCGTGTGTTGATATTGATCATCTCATTCTAACACCGTGGACATTACTCTGCTGCTGTAGCAGCCTCCCGCTCACACTCTGTGATTCAGTTCCTGCCAAAGGTGTTGGGTGGGGTTGAGGTCAGGGCTCTGTGCAGGCCGGCCACGTTTCAGACCAAACTGGGACAATATTCCTATGGACCTTGTGCACAGGGGATGTTGAAACAGGGAAAGAACTTTCTCAAGCTGTTGCCACAAAGTTGTAATTGCACTACTGTCTAAAGTAGTATTCGATGCTGTAGCATTAAAGTTTGCTCTACCTGGAGCCGAAGGATAAACATCTTAGCAAAGAGCTTTCAGTCACTAACGTTGAGCCTGTGCGACCCCTCATGGCTGCAATGAGGTACTGCAGGCTTTAATAGCAAGGACCGTTCTTTTCTCTCTGATGCTGCTGTAATGTTTTCTTTCTTTATGCATGTAGTCGCACACAAACCAGGAGGCAGTGCAGCCACAGGCTTCTGCTAAAGGCAGAGTCTTTGATGCCTTGCTCACCGGTCTCTCCTCCCCACAGTGCCATTCAGAGTCCAGCCGTTCAGATGAGGAGTCCAGTGGAGAGGAGGATGAAGATGAGCCCATGTCCCTCTCGCCCGCCTCCTCAGCCTCTTGCCACCAGCCGCCTCCTCCGCTCCCAATGGAGACTTCTGCTCCCAGCTGCCTCCCTGCTAGCCCCGCCCAGTGGAGTGTGGAGGAAGTGTCACAGTTTATTTCCTCACTACAAGGTACAGAGATCTTAAAATACCGATAATGGTCACATCTGTTTGACCTTCTTGGAGTGTTATTTTGTTTGTGTTATCTGTCATCAGAACCAAAAATCTATGTTAAGTCTTTGTTATTAGTGCTTATGTTGCCAGTTGAATTACTGATGTTCTGATGACTTAGGAACTCTTAAAGATTGATGTTAGTAAAGCCTCTGTAGAGATGAAAAGATCAGATCTGTATTATACTAGTTGAGAAAGTTGTCAGGCATTTTGATAATCAGTCATATCTTTTATTTTTTGCAGAAATACCTAAAAATTGTTAGTTTAAGCTTCTCAAAGCTTCTTCTTTTATTTATTTTAGTGTCCCTGTTTTCCAAGGCAGCTCTGGCATCATGATGCCAGTAAAAGTTAAATGTAAAATGGAGGCTTTCTGTTTTTCTGTTATAGCGGCAAAGCAAATAACTTTGCATTGTTAACTGTTTGTGGGTCAAAACATGCAAATGAAAACAGATTGTAAAGGGAAACTCAACCAGCAGATAATCATTCTCACTAAAATATCTTAAATTTCTGCTCTTCTCATCTCTTTCCATTATCTTTGTTTCTTCTGTATTTATATTTCCATCCCACCAGGGACTTCATCACTCCTTTCTTCCTTCAGTTTTCCTTTGTCCGGCTTCCTCATTTAATTTTCTCTTTATTCCTCCTCTTTCTCCCTCTCGCAGGCTGTGAGGAGCTCGCCTCCCAGTTCCTGTCGCAGGAGATTGACGGCCAGGCCCTGCTGCTGCTGAAGGAGGAACATCTCATGTCCACCATGAACATCAAGCTGGGTCCCGCCCTGAAGATCTGCGCCCACATTAACAACCTGAAAGACTGATGTCATTCTTTCATGTTCAAAGTTAAGCCCTGGGCATTTACCCCCAGCTCCTGTTCTGCAGCCAGTTCAGATATGGAACTGGTTCCAGAGGAGGCAGAGTCCTGCAGGTGAGTGTATAATGTGCAGGTCCTTCTCAAAACAAAGCCGAGGCTCTTAGGCCCAAGCCGGGGCTGCGGCACTTAAATCTGTTGTTGGTATGTCCACTCGTGCACATGTCTGCCACACTTGCACAGGAATCTTGTTCCTTTTTTACAAACATGTCTGTGAGCTGCAAAAACACTACAGATTACCAGCTACGTTTTAGTGAAGACGTCTGTCCCCAACAGGCCGCTTCTCTGTCACAGCATCAGCACTCGAGGTCAGAAATAGTTTTTGCAAACTGATTTAATTTTGCGTTTAATATGCACAATTTCACTGTAATGTCTTTCTTGAAAAAAGCATGTTTGGAGGGTTTGAATGTATTTTCAATGCAGGAATCTCTTATGTTGTGTAGTGAACTTGTGTACAACCAGGGCTGCTTATTCAGACTGTGATCCAGGTTGTGTTAATCTTGTGTCATATTCAGAGTTGAGTTCAATCGAACAGTGAACGAAAAGCATACGGCAGAACACACAACAGTTTGAGCTATTGTATCCTGTAGCACAGGAAAGTCTGTAAAAAGGTTAATCCTGACTTTGGCTTCAAGGTAAATCCACATTTTTTTCCACTGAGAATCTATGTTGGTTCTCATCTAGATTAGCACAGGTGACGTTTTCTTATTGTGTTTTGATTTCTGGTCTTCACCAACAGAACCTAGTAAAGAAAAACAAGTGGGATGTAATTTAGTCAGTCAAAATCTTAAAGATTACTGCTTTTGTTTTGAAGAAACGTTTTGTATGGACAGGGCTCAGATGATTTAGAGCTTTAATGTTATGTATCTAATAAAAACTAGTGCTTTCAGCATCATCATTTTGTGAGAACAGACATCACTGTTTGTAAATGGTGGTCCATTCTATAACTTACAGGGTACGGTGAGAGTACAGGGTACTGGCTGCAGAAATGCCAGACCAGAGTCCAAATTCAGTCCCAATCCCTCAAAAGGGCGTTTTATATTTCACAGGCAAAAAAACCACTAATGGTACACAGAGCACATCATCAGTAGAAAAATACTACTGCTGATCCAAAATACTTTCCCCCAGTATCTTGGGGCTTTTTTTATTTTACAGCAGACTCTTAAAAAGGACTATAATCTGCAAAATCTGACTATTGTTCTGTCAGGCATTTACAACACTGTCACTGTTTTCCAACGGTACAACCAGCTGCTCCCCATCTGTACGACCATACTTAGTGTGTACGAGTGAAGGGTGACGTCATGGGCTCGATTCTGTGAAGTGACAGGAAGTGCTGGAACAGATGGCAAATGTGAAGGTGAGCTGGTAATTTGAAGTGTCATGAGTAAAACCAGGGGATCCATCCAGAGGAATCGGCTCGTAGCCACACATGGGCCTACGTTTATGACTTGAATGAATGAGCGTGTGAGTGAGAAAACCTTAAACTATACTGTAATAAGTGTAAAAATGCCTTTATATTTAAATAGACATTTGTTTGCTGGACTGCCTTGTTTAAGCTTTTTACTGTAGGAGTTTTCTCATGTTCTCTCTCTGTGAACCTTGTGGCCTTTTTCACTAGTGTCTACAATAGGTTTAGATGAGGATTGTCTGTTTTTAACGGCTTTTCATATCATTCCTTGTTTTATATTAGTACTTACTTTTTTACTATTGTTATTTCAAGCAATGACATTTGTTGCCTTTCCCAACAAGCGTGACTGAATAGTAGCTACCTTGATCAAGGAAACCTCCAGTCTTCCTCATAGCTTTGTCACATAGCGTGTAACTACCAACAGTATTTACCTGTCTAGCTAGCTCTGTTTGGCTTTATTGTTAGTGACTGTGGCTATTACAGTATTTTCTTTCACAAAGGATGATAATCTTTGATAGCTGTGTGTTTAATGTCATAGTCGCCCCAGGATTTTGGAGTCTTTCAGGCCGCAGGTCCTGCAGCATATTATGAAGACAAAAAAAAATAAAAAGCACTTGTACTGCATTGCAAGTGATGTGAAGTAACTGCAGCTCTGCTGAAGTTAGCAGTGTAACATTTGTGAATTTAAATGTCGTACTCCCAAAAAGTAGCACTTTCTGACCAAAATAACGGTGGATTCTGCACAAGATCTTTTTATATGAAGAATTTACTTCAGAATTTGTTTGCTTGCAATAATACAAAACTGCAAAATCTTGGAGGGGCTGGGTTTGACAAGGAGAGGTGACCAATACTGTCATGCAAATAAATAATCAAGGAACTGTTTTAAAACTGTGATGCCCGTGTGTTCATTTGTGAAAAACGAGAACTAACCTGTTAAGGGGGGTGATTACAGACTTTATGTGAGCCGGTGCCAATACACATCCTTAACTGTGACGAGAGAGAACAGACCGTTGCATGTTTATAGATGCAGTGCTTGCATATTCCTAAATTGTGTTTAGTCAGATAAACACACCGCAGCCCTGGGGTTGTTGCCCAGGGAGAAACAGATTTAAAAGTGAGGGCATCTTTTATTTATATATTTTTATGACCTGGGGAAATAGCAACGCTTTTGTTATGCTAAGAAGGTCGATAGATGCTTTATTGATCCTGAGGGAAATTCAGGTATCCAGTAGCAACAGCAGTGATTACCACCCAAAATTAGCACCCAAAGTAAAGGAATGTATAAAGGTGTAAGACTGAAATGCAACAGTTTTAAGAGTATAGGAATAAATATATATATTGCACCAAGTGTTTGCAGCAATGTGATTTAGATTTCAGACAGAATTAAACATTTTGTGTTTTACCATTTACCTTCATTTTAAACTATCAGTCAGTGTCTGAAAAGGCAAGATTGTCTAAGCTTTAACATTACCTGCTTGATTTTGTCAAACTCCACCTCTGGCTGACATGGACTGTGTCATTAGCCCTGCCAGAAAGTTTGCAATCCTTGTTTCAGTATCAGTTATAGCAGCATTATACTGTACACATGCCGCTTGTTTGTCTTGTATAAATAAACTATTTTGCTACAGTTAAAAAGTGCAGGAAATATGCATTTTCTTTCATTATATTAATCTTTTACCTAATCATAGTTCTAGTTTACAGAAAAGCGTACAATCCCTATGACACTTTTGTAAACGTACAAAGTGAGTGTGCTTTATAGTGTCTTTTTCCAACGGACAAGTGAAAACGTTTCACATCTGGCAAAGTAAATTCTTCATTCTTGCAGCTGTCCTTCATAAAACCTCCCATTGTACAGTGGTAGGTAGTTCTGACTCAGCCAATCAGAGCATAGCATAGTTGTATGTTTCTCCATATCCCGCCTCCCTCAGGTATTTCTCGATGTCGATTGGTTCACTCACTTTGAGAACTGTCCTCCCATTGGCTGATTTTTCTCCCACCTGTAGTTTCCTAATGAGCTCGGACACGGAGAGGCGTTGTTCAGGGTTCCACTGGCAGCAGGCCTTGATGATGGAGTACCTACAGGCCAGGGTAAAACACCGTGAAACTTGTGTTTATTGTCTTTACGCCGTTCATAAACATAGCTAGCAGGCTGTGAAAACATTTGACTAAGGTGTTGAAATAGGTATTAAATTGTATTGTATGTGGCAAAACAATGTCTGAAAAAGCTTTGTTTCACATGGTGAAGACAGCAGAAACCTCGAATTCATAGAAGTATTCAGCTTTTGACACTTGACAAATTTAGTTTAAAACACACTGGTTTCCTGGCATGTCCAGTTCTGTGCAACCTAATGAACCCTGTTTACTGCTGTTCCCCTTACAGTGATTTGGAGCAGGTGTTTGGCTGTTTGAGTTGCTTTCCTCTTTGGAGATGCTGCAGGAGGTCAGTCGCCATGAGCTGAGCAAAAGGTGGGTCACCTGTATACATGAGAGTTTTAGATGTAAACCCCGTCACTTAAGGAATCTGTACTGAACAGGTTTTAAGCTCTTGCACAGCCATTATTCTAAAGTCACAAATTCTAGGAAATCTTCGTCTTCATTGCTTAAATTTTTCTTATAAAATATCTGCTTGATGATGATTCTCATTCTATCATTCATTTTATAATGAACTTCTCTTGGAGGTTTGTTTAGAATGAATAAAACATTTACCCAGTGTGACCATTTCATAGAGCAGGATGCCAAAGGACCACCTTTAAAAAAGGAGTTGGAGAAGAGCATTATGTCAGTAAAAGGGTTAAAGAGTTTAGTCTGATATTAAACCAAAAACATGAAAATTCAGCATAAAATTGTACGCTGTGCCTGTCATTAATGTAGGAACTCTGGACTCTGCATCTGTGCACATTTTCAAGCACACAAACTGTTCATTAATCTAAATTCTGCAAAAGAAAGTAGCAGATTAAAACCTGGTTTGATTTTCAAATGTGCACACTTTTGCTTTTCTCATAAAATGTGTGTGTGTATGAAATGTGTCAGCTGTTGATCAAATATTTAAATGGTGAAGTTTTAGTGCTTTCCAGTTCAATTCAGAAACATCAGTCATAATCAGTAATAATCAAGCTGCACTGACCAGTTGCTGCTTTGATAGCTCTGGCTGGGACATTTCAGTGACGTGCTTAATTTTTGTTTTTATTGCATTATGTCTTTGTTTAAAAAAAAAAAAAAAGAAGAGGATTGGGACACTCACACGTCACTGCTCTGACTGATGCTTCTCCTGGCCAGCACTTCAGGTGCCTGCCACTTCCTCATCTCCATGTCGTGCAGTTCGCCCACTGAACCCTCCTGTCTTTTCCTGTGGTAGGCCGACCCCAATCCCCACAGCTTCGCTGTAAAATTTCCATCAATGAGAACGTTGCAAGCTCCCACTGCACCATGGATGCAGCTCTGAGTGTGCAGATACTCCTACAGGGTGTGTAGATAAAGACGAGGTAATAAGAGGGATGCTGGAAATTGTGAATTTTGGAACCTGGCTGTGGAAGATTAGAAGAGTTCAACACGACAAGGATGCCACATAAATCAGACTGTTACTCTGGCAAATGTAACGGTTTATAATGTATTCAGACTTTTGTAGAACTCCAAAAAAGAGGAGAGAACTTTTGCTCAGATGAAATGTAATGCCGACAAATAGCACATTTGTGTATCGATAGACTAGGTGAGATGAGCAGGGGGGGCAGAATGAACTCTCTCTTAGCTAATTCCCACAAATACAGTATTACACACAAATACAGACAGAAGTATAACCAACCAGGGCAGAGGCCACTTGTCCTGCCATAGTGAAGATTCTGCTCTCTGTCATGTCACATGATGACTGTGAACCCGAGTTATCCTTCAGTGAGAGAGGAGAAGAAAACGACAATGTTTTTATCAGTCTTTCTTTAGCGGAGAGAAGCATTTTACATTAAGACCAAGACCACATGTCTTATAATAAAAATAGGTGAGCATGCTGTACCTGTCACTGTCAAGTAGGTATTGATATTAATCTCTTTTAGTAGTAGGGTGTACTCCACTGCACCGCCCCATAAAGCACGTATTACTTTAACTGCATTTTAGTCTCAGAGTGAACAGTCATGACCAGTGTTTGGAATTAGCAGAATAATTATGCAAGTTTTAACATTTTATCTAATTTACATTCTAGTGTTTTATATCTATATACATTTTGATTTTTTTTTTTTATTGAACCATGTGCATTGTTTGAGGTACTTTGAATTGCCGTTGCGTATGAAAAAAAGTGCTAGGTAAATAAACTTGCCTTGTGTTTGCATGATATGCAAACTCGGCAGATGTTTCTCTGCACTGTATTAACCTAACCATGTTTGGTCTTAATGTTCCTGTGTGAGTCTTCTGTTTGTTTTCCTGCCCCTTAGATATTCACAAGTTTCCAGTTAGTAATAAGCTGGTTCAGTTGCACATGTAATTGGAAAAAGTCTTAAGCATGTTCCTCTGACATGAGCACATACCCTGCAGTGTTTGATGTGAATCACAGTTTAACCTGCTGCTTAAGATCTGACTTAGTCTTTGTCGTGGTAAGTGAGAGCTTACTGTACCTGTCTACATCTCCACAGGAACCCCAGCAGGTCTCTGTGCTGGAGCTCTTCTACCACCATCATTAGTGGCGACTGCACTGAAACCACCCCCAGCAGCGCAGGTAGGAAGGGGTGTGGCCCCAGCTTAGACACAAAGGAGGCAAAACCCAAAAAGTGCTGCTTCTCACTGCTGTTTGCTGTTTCTGGGGGGAAGAGATCAGATCACAGAGCAATGTTTTATACATTTTTATTTAGCCAGGAAGCTTTCACTGAGCAGTAGTTTTCTCTTTTTCAAGAATGTGCTGCTTCACATTTACTGTTTTGATTTGACAAGTCTATGCCATCAATCATGTACAATTTTTGACTGAGGAAAATCATAGAAAAGTGCCTCCATTTGATGGTCGTCAGGCTGTGGAGGCTCCAGCAGGAAATAAAACCAAAACTCTAGTGTGTAAACCAGGTATCAGACTGTTCCTTGTATCTCTCAGCTGGTAAGAAGAGAGCAACCTCTTCAGCAGGTCTGCAGTAGGACCTCTGTGTTTGGGACGTGGCTCGCTACAGCCCTGTTTACCTTTAAGCACCCTCAGGATGACGTCTCTGTTGTTCATGCGAGCCCTGTAGAGGATGACTGTGGGATTAGGCCTCCTGAAGAGGGACGGTTGCAGCGCGGTGAGCTGGCTGAACCCTTCATGATGCAAATCTGTAGACATCTGTGGTACTGCAGCCTGAGTACCTGTTGAACTGACATGGTATCCTCTTCATGTTCCAGTGGGTTTATACCAGGGGGCGCTATTGACAGAGACAGACACAAAACGGAGCTGAGTAATAAACCTGTAGGTGTAGTCCTGTGGTAGGATACAACAAGAATAAACAGACACAGATGCTTGAATGTGTTTGCCTACCATCAATGCCCTGTAGGTTGTGTCTGTGCCTCTGCGTGTGTTTACGTGATGGGCTGTTGTAACGCTGAGGGGTTGTTGCATGTGTCTTCTTTTGCTTAGGACAATACCTCAGTATAAACAGAATCGCTAAGATGATCAGTGTGGCCAGGAGGAGCAGCACAGGGACGATGATCACCTCCAGCTCATGGTACTTTATTACTGAGAGAGAGGAAGAAGTGGCCCTGTGTAAATGTCAGCTGTAAGAAGAGGCAATGCATTTTAAGAATGTATAGTACCAGGTTAAACGTGCGCAATGTGACAAGTTGGTCTGATCATATCCTACAGAGAGAGGGTCCTCTCTGTTTCCTCTGCATATGCTAGGACAGTGGAGAGATGTTCCTTCTGTTGGTAGCCCTTTTGTGAATTATGTGTTTGTGTCTCAGAGAGATGTTCAAATACACAGCTCCCTTATTTGCACTCTTTCTAAAGTTGCAGGTTTGGTTTCACTGTACTGCTTAAGGCAATTAGGATGAACATGTTTACTATCGAAGGCTGCAGCTTAGATGTGCTGAGACAATGTTGAATCTTTAACATTACATAACTGGTGCAGAGAGAGGTGTAATTTGGCAGTAATCAGTATTTCAATGCAGCTCTCATTACCCTCAGATACATTGGAGATATAATGATAAATTCTTGGCCAAAAACTGTAGAATGGGGGGAAAAAAAACAGAATTTAATCAGGTATATTAAGTTGTAATCATCTGGACTATCACTGTGTTAATGAAGCAGCACAAATCCAAGGCATGTGGGCAGCGTTTATCACAAGTGCTTGTTAATGCACTGTTCATTGCCTCTGCCTTACTTGTCTTGCTGTATTGTTGCTACACTGTCAACATAGCACAGTTGGGCTTCGGTAAGACAGTCTGCCTGGCCTGGACGTCCAGGTATCAGTTATGCACTGACAGCAGGGGAGTAAGAGATTGACACCACACTGCGTTTGACTATTAGCATTTCTGAGTTTCTGTTTTGATAGCTCCCACGCCACTGTTCAGACGTCTTATTTATATATGGAAGGAGCTAGATGATTTCCTGTTTACACATGGTTACTAGCTCAGTCTGGTTGTGGCACATTCTTAGGTGTGGTGGATTTACAGAAGGCCCCAAGCCATTTCTTGTCATTTCCATGAAGGATTTATGTTGAGTTTGAACTTTCAACACTAAACAAGTCCCGTATTTTATGCAGCTTACTCTCAGGTTAACAATAGGAAATTAAGACATTCTATTCTACTGGTAGATGAACAATTAGCTTAAAGAAACAGTGAACTGTATCTGTTTTAACTTTGTGTTGTAAAGTACAAAACGTTTTAAGAAGTTACTACTGCAGCTTCATGAAGTGAATCTTCTTTTTCATAATGCATAGGTGTTGAATATAAACCTTTTGCTGCTTGGATGATGGGAGAACAGACCGAGGCATCGGAAACATTATGACATGTGTTTGATAGTAATGTAAAATAAAAGGGATTTGTAACAAAGCTAAACATGCAAAGTACTGCAATAGTCTATTTGTTTAAAGGTTTACTGTATCTAGATAAAATATTTCTCTGTGTGATAACAGAGACTTCCCAGCAGTATTAGTGCATCAGTTCTTACTTCATCTGATTGTGTAATCGCACACTACCCGGAGCTCCAGTATTTCATGGACATTATATGGACAGAACGTTTTGTAGTAAAATTTTTTTAAAGACATATAGCCTATACTTTTTGGTTGTTAAATCCCAAGACATGTCAGATTTAAAGAGTTCATTTTAAACTTTTGTTTTAGATTAATTATCAAGGCAAATCAGGTAACTGGGTGTCATGTCAGAGGTACTAGGCTTACAGTTTAGTTTAGTTTAATGGAAACACACAGTAACAAGAGAAGTGAAAAATATGACGGGATAAATTAACCAGAGCTGTAAAGAAAATTACAGTAAGCAGCAAGAATGAGAGAATGATAATTAAAGATTAAAACAGAAGAATATGTGAAAACATCTCCTGATAAATGCAGAGGGAAGCCTGAGGATAACTTTTTAATTCACCAGCTAATATCTAACATTAGGAAATGAACCTGGCAGCAGCTGAGTTCAGCTTCATGGTAGGAGGAAATGGAGAGTTGTAAAGAAAAGAGGCAGATGTGAGGCTGGTCATATTAGAGGAAGACTGAGCATAGTTAATGTGAAAGAGTGAAGGGCAACAAGGTTAAAGTGGGAGGAAAGTGGAGGATGAAGCAGCAGCGACTGCAAAAAGAGGGATGAATGTGTGAGATGACAAATACTGAAATGTGGACAGGTTTATAGGAGGAAAACGAGATGATGGGCTGAAGAGGAAGAAAAGCAAGGGTGGAAGATGATGATGATGAGAGAGAGAGACAAGAAGAAGTTGAGTCCTTACTACAAAGGGTGTCTTTGGGTGCACACAGATTATCTGCAGTGGAGTTGGATGACATGCTACAGAGGGAGAGAAGAATAGAGATTAGACATGACTGTCAGCTGGAGCGAGGGATCAGCGTTACCTCTGCTCAGCAGCTGCCCTAAATCCACCGAGCTTAGACAGACCTGCAGCATCTGCCTGTCAAACAGCCAGACAGTAGCTGGGTCAGAGTTTAATGAGCTGTCGGTGGCAATCAGTAAACAGCAGAGCACACACCCAGACTTTTAGCGAACAACTCATAGAAAATATATTTACTGTGGCCCTTTTATCTACACTTAGATACTGTAGAAAAAAATCAACTGAGCTTCTTATCTGGACCACAGAGCAAATACCAGAAGGAGTGCTTGATGGTTTGTATTACTGGTTACACAGAAAACAGAAGAGCAGCCATCGTTCAGCAGTGACCTAAAATCCATAAAGCTTTGATAGGATGACCTGGCATTCAGCAGCCTGTAAACCTGTCGCATCACGCGGATGATATACTGGACATGTCCCTTGAACTGTGATGGTGTTTACTGTATGACTGAGGTCTCACATCTCTATACTGTGTACTCAACTATGATGCAAGTCCATAATGTAATGAAATGGCATCTCCAAGAGCAGCTGATTGTGACTGACTTTTTTTTTGATTACCTGCCAAGGGATTGCAGATAAAAATGAGCTTTAAGCCAACTCTGATACGCTACATCAGATGTCGACATTTATGTCTAACATTGTGCGTGTTCCCTTACAAATAAATCATTTTTAGGAGAGGTCCTGGCCAGAGCAGCAGCATCAACAACAAGCAGTGACAGTCACACATTCAGCATAACTTGGTGTTATTGTTATATCAGTTATGGTTCAGTAAAATAATGAAGGCACCAGTGAGACGGTTAAAATGGTAACGCCTCTTAATAGATTCCACTTTTCTATATGCTGACATCTCTTTCTTGAGGTTTCTGTGGTTGGTGATGTGGTCAGGTTTTGGAAAATCTTTATGCAGTGAAAACCCTGAATCTGTGATGCCGTGTATATTTCAGCCTCACTCATCCTTCACCTAACAGTAGCTGTAAAGTAAACACAGCGGCAGAGCATAATAATACCAAAGGAAGTGAAACGCATTAGAATATAACTGACAGAGGAGATGAAGTGGCAGGGGCAGTGAGTGTGTGTACTGAAAGGAGGGCTTCTGTGTCTGTGCAAATATCCACTGAGCACATTTAATCCTGTGTGGCTGAAACCCATGCCCCAGGTCTTTTACAAACAAGCCCATTCAAATCAGAAGCCTCAAAGCAAGAACACCCATTGTGCGACACACTTTATACTGTCCATTTCTCACACACAGCATCAGCTACCCGTCGTCTGCATGTTAAGGCCCACTGTCACTCACTGTTATCAGTGTACTCAACTAGTCTGCATGTATAAATGTTATCAGCATAGGCAAATATCAGAGTTCTCTTCTCATTACATTGGCTTGCTCTGCCCTTTTTGTTGGAATATTAGTTTTAGAGCATTTATAATCTCCGTGAGATTTATGGACTAAAACACTAAAGAATTCTGCATCACTTATTGAAACCTGGCTGACATTTTAAGACCTGTCTGAATAAACCATATGGTGAGAGGATCAACACTAATATCATTTAGATCTATTCATTTCTACACCAAGATGTAAAATTAAAGGTTTTTGACTTGGCAATGACTTCTTCAAATGCATGTACAGTGTCTCACTGAACTACTAGGTTATTTAGCTTCTATTGATCACTTTGGTGACCCGTGTATGGTGTTGAGTAGTG